TATGAATATTTTATTGTTTACTGTCCTGGGTTCAACGAAATAATTTTAAACTCTTTTGTATAATGTTTTGAAAAATTAAATAGTTTTCTGATGGAAAATGCACCTTTTTCATTTGTGGAAAATAACACTTATTATAGAAACACCTCCAAGAAGGTATAAATTATCGATATATATATACAGTTTAAAGGTTAAAATCCAAATTTAAGCAAGAATGGCTTCTATAAATTTTGAGTTTCAAATTCATGTACAATACACATATTATTTCTCACACATCTATAAACATATTTTAATTCCATTCTCAACAATGTACTTAAGTGAAACAAATTTTCTCAACATGAAAGGCTACAAAAATAAAATATAAAAACTTGCACGAAAAAGGAATCTAAGGGCACAATTAAAAGAAAGGGCAAGGACACAATTATCAGTCTTATGAGGACTCGTTCAGTAACTGCCTACACTGACGGTTCTTCAGACTCAGAGTACAATAGGGGTGGATCTGGTGTCTTTCTTAAGAACCCAGATAATACAACTTCAAAGCACTAGGTCTCCACAGGGCAAATTGCTTCCAACTTCACGCGTGAACTTAGTAGCAATTAGGATAGCCATAGATATTTACCTTATATGGCCAGATATCGCTGATTCCGACGGTTTCATTGTCCTCTCCGACTATAGATCTGCGCTTGAGGCCATCAAGAAAGGAAAAAAGGGACTCATCCAAGAAATCAATTCCCTTTTATTTTCCATTGGAACATTGGGCAAATCATGCACCCTCCAGTGGATCCCGGCCCATGATGACATCGAAGGGAACGAGATAGCCGACTTCCTTGCCAATGAAGCCAGAACACTTGAACCTGTAACTTCTTCGACTACTGTCTTTGATGCCAACGCAGTTGAAAAACAAAAGCTCTGTTCAAACCCACGAAAAAAATTCTCACTGTCAGAATTAAATTATAACCGAGAAACTACAGCAACAATAACCAGACTAAGGGCGAAGCATTTTAAGGGCATGAAGATTCTGCCCGATGGTTCCAGATAATATGTGGAATGCAGGCACTGCCCAGGCAAGCATCTGGATCCCAAACACCTTTTTAGCTGTCCTTCCATTGTTGGTGTCCCTTTTAAAATAGACAATGACTACAGCATGGACATCCTATGCTCGGATCATGCCATGGATGTTGCCACGGCAGTGATTCATACCTTTGGCAATATTTGACTATATCTTTATTTTGTTATATACACCTTTGCACTTTGTCATACACGACAACAACAACATAAAAATAAATTAAATGTAAAAAATTAAATGTAACAGCAGATGACTTCAATAGACCTAGACTTCGTCAGTTTGTGTAAAAAATGCTAGCACTTATCCCAGTTGTTATATGTAATGTAGGGATAGGATGATAATCCGTTAATACTTTTATGAGAATGTTATATTAAAATTTGTAAAAAAAATTACAATACTTCTTCAATTCCTACTATTAGTTCACACTCAACCTATGTATCTTGCTCAAAATTTTAATCGTTAATAAAATTCTTTTTATGTATCCATTCAAGCTCAAATATATTTTTTTAAATTTGTTGTGGATGGCAGTTGTTGTTAATGCGATTTTTTAAACTATTAATTCATTAATTAAACTTCATCAACTAAAATAAAAATTTTCTTTCCTAAGTAGAAAATGATTTCAATTTTTTTTTAATATTATTATTTTTTATCTGTCTTTACACACAAAGTACCTATAACATGTGTATCTACTTCAAATATTATTTTGAGACAAAATCTTTTAAGGGGAATGGGGTTCCCCGAAAAAAATTCCTTATAGTTCTAAGGTTCCGCGAATTGAAGAAGTTTGAAGATCACTAATGTAAATGTTTATCAACAGCATGTGAATGATGTAAATAAAACTTTTCGTAGTGCTTATGATACAAATAGTTATGATATAAATATAAAATAATTCATTTTCCTAGTATTTATTCCTAGTATATTTCCTAGTAAATATTCAGTTTCCTAGTATGAATTCAAAAATAATTATTATCAAAGAGCGCATGATACAAATGTTTATGGTGCGGATATACAAACAATTCTTTTTCCTAGTATTTGGTACGAATACAAATTATATTTTCATAGTGCTTATATATATAACATGAGTATTCTCCACACAATTCGTATATAAATACCTACGATGTTTCATATTCCATTCATCATTTTTATGGACCCAGCCAATGATAAACAACAACCTGCAATGCGGTTCCAAATTGCAATGAGGATTTTGGATTAATATATCATTTCATGAAAGTTTATACCAGACAATATAAATTGTTGTAGATAAGCTATAGAATGTGAGAGACAGTACACACATATTTCTTTTCAAAGAAAGTGTCTGTTTATTTTGGTAGTAATATAGAGCAAATTCATGTGAGATACACATAAAGTGAAAACCGATAAAGTAATTTCATGGCATAGATGATTAATTTTATTCTGTGAATACTCAGTATTGTGAAGGGCTATTGGAAGATTCTCTGAGTAAACACATCATTGTATCATTTTCTTAGCAGTAGGAGGTAAAGTTACTTGAAGAAGAGATTAGGAGGTAAAGAGAAATAACAATTTTTACTTTAAACACAATAAATCAAGCAAATGATTCTACAAATAAGTAGGTTATGTTCATTTAATGCACTGCATTATATCTAAGTTAGTAAATAAAAAAAGTGTTCGAAGAAATACCTTAGAAACCAAACATTATAGAAGTTTGGAATTTATCTCTTATATAAATGTGCTATTTCAAAATTCATGAAAGATTATTTTATACAAAATGTATCAATATATTAGATCGGTGCACGTGAATGATGTATTTTCTTTACATGTGAACGTTTGTCGGTTGTTTTCGCTATGATTTTGTTTTTGGCATAACTTCGTTTATAATTGTATTAAAAATATAACCACTGTTACAGTCACATTTCATCGAAGATTTTCTCAAAAATGTTCAATTTTGTTATTTGCTTTGAATTATATAATGACATGAATTCAGCCGATATTTGTGAAATTCAATTCCTATTACTATTTTACCCTCTCCTTATATATATTTATTTATACATATCTTATGCAAATTTTTTATCGTTAATAAAATACTTTTTATTCATCCATTCAAGTTCAAATACATTTTTTAAACCTGTAGTGGAGGGCACTTTTTTCATACAGTTTTTCAAATATTAATTCACTAATTAAATTTCATTTTTTAATTTTAAATTTATTCTGCGTTATTTCTGTCCAAGTTACAACTAGCTGCAACAGTATGTTTGTCTAATAAAGTAGGAATTGACTTTATTTTTTTTTATATTACTTGTTTTTATATGAGAATAAACTTGGTAGCAATGCTATAAAACCTGTACGCAATATAAGTTAGGCATTTGGGGAAAATACTATTAACGATCCAAAAATGCACAGTTGGTTTGAAAAACTTCGATCTGCGGAATTTTCCTTACAAAATGAACCGCGTGAAAAATGATGCTGTGAAATCATATTGGTGGAAACAAATCCAAATATATCTATTATACTGCCAGTACATTGGCGAAATGTATGAAAAAAATGAAAATTATACACCTATCACTTGTTAATGGGCATGGCCAAATACTTCTCCACGCTGTATAATTTCTACAAAATAATTGCAAAATTAAGGTGTCTGTTGTAGATTAAATATTAAATGTATAGATGGTGCTACAAATCATGTGAGAGATGTATACGCGTTTTGGCTTGTAGAGTCAGAATCATGTAATGTTATTTGTGTTGTGTACATGTCTTCCGTGTTGTCTGCATAATAAAGAAAATGCCAAAAAAGGAACTGAATTATTGAATTGGGAATGAAAGAAACATTGGCATTATAATAGTCTACCTTACCATGGAATATAAGAACTAAGGAAATACAATAGTGTCCGACTACCTAAAATCGTGAATTTCGCCAAAAGATGGAAAATTTTTATTAGGATTTTATTTTTATGCCATCTTATTAGCGTCATAAAAATACCACGTTTGTGTTCCATTCACTGGAACAAAAACCACAAGAGTCTTAGTAAAAGCAGATGCCCCTACTTTTTAAACAAGATGTCATACTTTAAAACGCGTTTTACTCGAAATGCATTTTTTTTTTTTAAAATGAGCAAACGGGAACAGCGATTACACAAAATTTTTTGAAAGCAAATACCTGACTGTGTTTGTTCTGTATAATAGTAGAAGTGTTTTAATCTTCATATATATCAATCACTGTTTTTTATTACAAAATTTACAGTCCCTTAGATAAATATAATCTCTATTTTCTTAAGCAATTTCATATAATAATTAAGATAAAGTGCTCTAGTTTTTGTAAAAATTAAAATATGTCTTATCTTGAGGATCATTTGAAAAATGAATAGCAAAGCACGGCATCAAAAGTGAAAATTTGCCCATAAACTTTTTGTACAGAATGAGCCCCGTTTATGTATTTTTTTGTAAATTTTTACTCGTTTTTTTCCCTTTTAGGGATAATGATTTCTTTTTCTCTTATTAATTTTGTATATTTTTCTTAAAATGTACTAAATAAATTTAAAAACCAAAAATAATAATAATAATCTCCGAATCTCACTTTAAAAAAAAAAGTTGTCGCAAGTAGTCTGATACCTTAAATGAATTAAAGCATAATAGTTCGAGGCATCCAGCATATTCTGGGGATCTTTTGCTAACCGACTTTCATTTTTTAAACGTTTAGAACAATTTTTAGAGGTATGAAAAAGAAGACAGTCTGAAAAATTTCCTATCAGATAATATTGATTCTAAGTATCAGAATTTCTTCAAGCTATGCATTAGACTCTGGGTACGAAAGGTGTATTGAAGCCTATGTTGATTAAATAAACAATTTTTGAAAAATGGTATGTAGTTTTATATATTTAAATAAAAATCACAAAATAAATAAATATTAATAAGCAAAAGTAATAGTCCAACAGCACATATAGAAAGAAAAATCGTTCGTTGTGTCTCAGTAGCGCAATGGATAGCACGTTGGTTTTATAGTCCAAGGGTCATGGGTTCGAATCCCACCTGGGACGGCCTAGTTTCTGAGAATGTGGTTTTTCTTTCACATTACTATTTTATTAGAATAATTAAATTTAATTAATGAATAAATAGTAATTAACAAAAAAAAAATGCCAACACCATATATAGAAAGAATAATGGAAAATTGCAAGGAAAATCTCTTTTTATTTTCTCACTTAATACTGTGACTCTGCCATATGTATATACTTATTTATATAAATTGTAACTATTTAATAAAAAGTAACAAAAATAAAAAATTTCTTTGTTGACCTAAGTAGGAATTGACTCAAAAAAAATTTATATTACTTGTTCTGATCCAAATCCTTAACATTTCAAAGAACTGCTTTTGGAAGTACTTCTAGAGAACATGGATGTACGAAATGAAGATTCCATTGGGGAACAAAAAATAATTTTTGTCCTCGAATGTCGGTATAGTTCCCATTTCTTCGTTTTTTATAGAACTCTTTCTCTTTTCTCCCGCAAGTGATTCGTAATTTCTCTGTGATCCATCTGTTGTATTCCTAGATTTTTATTTTTAACAATCGCGACATCCCTAGAAGGAATAGAATATAACGAAAAAAAGATCCCTAATCATCATCAAAAAGGAAGAAAGAAAAAACGGAAGAAGTATGAATTTTCTGATTGCAGAAGCTTTTTGTTAACAAGAAAAACACAAGACACAGTTGAACGTATTGAATTAATTCAGTTGTCTGAGGAATCTTATTTCTCAGTGTCAGATTACTTATTGTTTACTCAGAAGCAAAGGATTTTTTAAAACTGATGACCATTTATTTCACACAAGCTTGATTTCCAAATAATGTACGTACACAATTCCATTAACTGTTTTCGTATAAACATATATGATGATGCCAACTGCCATATTGGCAACAGTCGTTCCAATAGACTCGATAGTCTTATTTATACTGTTATGTAGATCACGGGGTTCGAGGATTTTATGCAAAATCAGTCGTAAATAACAAGGTAATTCTTTAAGAGCGATGAGTATTTATTGTCTAAAATCAATCCTTGAAATACAGGATTCAGCAGCAAAATTCTCAGGAAAAATTACAGAAGAATTTCACACCTTCAACAGCACTCAGACACAATAAGCAGTGTCTAAAATACACGTATGTAAATGACAATTCACAAGCACAGCCAAGCTGATCAAGTGCTAGTCAATGCTCACTACTCGCTGGCTGAAACCAGACTCGCTACTCGCTGGCAGAAAACCAGACTGACTGTTGTGGCGAGTATCGCTCTATTTATAGCAGGGGCCGAAATTTCTGGAAAGATGCGCTCGCGCCACAGATCGTGAAATTAGTGGATTTCTCTACTAATTTCTAGAAAAATCCATAGGGTCACGAATTCGCTAACATGGTCGCCAAAAATGATGCCAACTTGGCTCTATCACCAATATTTCGCCAAGTTCCCATTCAATCGCCATTATAAGGTAAGGGACGGCGTTGCTTGTGAATATTACAACTTTAACAGGAAATAAATATAGCATAGAGTAATATAAAGGCATTGCACATCCAAATACAAATTATTTACATTATTTAATACAAAATTCGTAACAATACGTTAGATCTTAAAACGAATTTTTCTGAAATTTAACAAATCAAATTTTTACTAAGGATTTTATAATCATTCCGATGGTTTAAATTCACCATACTTTTAGCATGAGGTTATGCTTGCCCAAACATAACGTTTTTGGATTTCACGTAATTTTTACAGAATACTCGTATAATTTAATATTGTTTCAACTATGCACCTTTAATTGAAACTGTTGATTAGATTTTGTATACATTGTATATTGCTGGCCATACAAATTGCAACACCAAGAAGGATCAGAGATATCACAGCGAAATTTATTTGGCAGATAACATGTTGTACAAAGATCAAACGATTGATACTACAGCGTGACGTGTGGATTATGACAAAATCAGTAGTTAGAAAAGCCGATTGTGTTTGCTATAACAGCTACCACTCGCCTCGGCATAGAATCAAAGAGGCTTTGGATGCATCCTAGGGGTACAGCAGTCCATGCGGCTTCCACATATTGCCAAAGCTGATCTGGTTTAGCAATAAGTGGTGCATCCCGAGCCTGTCGTTGTGCAAGCATGGACCAAACGTTTTCAATTGATAATAGATCGGGACAACAAGCAGGCCAAGGAAGCAATTCAATCCGATGGCTAAAGAAGAACTCTTGACCTTTGCGTGCCAGTGTGGTCGCGCGTTATCCTGTTGGAATATGTCTGATGGCAAGCGCTGAATATATGGGAGGACCATGGACTCTAACACCTCAGAGATGTAACATTAGCTGTTAATTGTACCGGCAATGCTCACTAGAAAGGGGCGGTAGTGAAATCCAATACCACCCCAAATTATGAAACTGGGTGCAGGGCCAGTGTGGAGATGCATAACGCAACAGTTTAGCATACTCTCACCACGGTGTCTTCAAACTCGAATCTGACCAATTGCCGTATTTTAAATCGTCAATATGTTCTCCCCTTACATAGAACTTGCATGTGGCGCTACGGTTGCCCGTGATGTGCGTCTATGCTTTTATGCTAATGATTTGCATATTTCATCGCTGCTAACGCATGATGTAAATTTCACATGGTTTGCATGCTTCCTTCAGGGTGTTGTATTTTATGTGGCCAGCATCGCACTTTATTTGATAAGTAACTAGTCTGAAAGAACAGAGAAACTCAAAACATCAGAATTCACATTATAGTATAAAAAAAATGTTGATTTTAAAAATACATTTATGTGTTTAAAAATATATTTGTGTATTTTTGACATCATCTTTATTGCTAAAGTGTGGCATAATATTAAAATTTACTATATATCACAATATAATGTGACAATAAAATATTTAATAAAAAATACAATAGCCCCCCATTAGTTTAGTTAGTTAGTTAATAGATAATTGTAAGATTACACGGGCAATAGTTGTGCTTAAGACTTTTTTTTTTCAATCTGTTTATTTTCTACAATTTTTCATGCACTACTGTGTATAACATTTCCGCCGAAGGGGAAGTTTGAGATCACATAAAACAAGCTTAACCCTATTTCACCGCCCAAAACCCATGACAGCTCGACATAAGCTGGTGAAATTAGGTTAGATATATATATACAGTGAGAAAGAGAAATCTGGAAATAAATATATACGTCGTCAATGTGTCGAATAATTGAAACTGTCGCTCCAAAAAGGCTTGAATATTTTTATACTTTGATCGTATTAATTGCTTTACATTTTTCCGGCTTTTCCACCATAACAATGCTATAAATAACCTGAAATTATGCTTGAATAAATTAACAATTAGAAAAATTATTTCTTTTTCGAATAGTAGTCACAGCAAGTCAGTATGGAGATGATTGCGATGAAGAAAAAGATTTAAAACAATCAGTTAAAATATTAATAAAACAAGAAGCATTCTCTGTACGACTATTAAATTGAATATCAAATGGAAATTTTTCAGATAATTTTTGTCACACAGGATTATTTAAATTGTTTGGTGAAGACTAATTATTGCTACAAGGAAGTTTTCCAATGCTACTGTATCAATATTTCAAACAATCAAATTATGAAAATTACATAAAAGTATTCAATTAACAGCATTCAATTTAAATATAACTTCAAACAATAGAAGAGCAATTCTCGCTAATGCATCGTTTTTTATCAACCACCCACTTCGCTGGATACTTCAAAATTTATGACTATACCATGTTTATAAATTATTGATATCTAAGTGCTTGCATTAAGCATTCTGTTGTATTAGCAAATATTGTAATATTGTAACAGCGATCGTCTCTTGATTTAAAAAGAACTTGAATTTCTAAAACGGAATCATAATTGTATTTTACACTATGGAAATTCACCAGCACCGTAGTTGATTACAGCAAAAACTCAGTCTTAAGGTATCCAACTACTTGCAAGACAACTTTAAAAAAAATTGAAACATGGGGATTTTTTTGTAGTTCTCAGATTTTTTAAGTACATTTTATGCTAAAATTAAGAAGATAAAAAGAAATTGTTATTACTAAAATGTGTGTGGGGGGGGGATTGGTAAAAATTTACAAAAAATAACATAAACGGAGCCCAATCTGTACCAAAATTGTATGAACAAATTTTCAATTCTGATGTGTTGCTATGTTATTCATGTTTGAAATGACCTTCAAGATAAGAGGTATTTTAATTTTTACAAAAACTGGAGCACTTTATCTTAACTATTTTATGAAACTGCTCAAAATAACAGTGATTATATTCCCATAAGGGACTGTAAATTTTGTAATAAAACAGTGATTGATCAATCTGAAGGTTAAAACCTTTCTACTAGTAAACAGAACATACTCAAAATATTTTAGTTAATTATTTTCAAAACTTTTTGAGCAATCGCTGTCCCGGTTTGAGCATTTTTTTAAAAAAAACACATTTCTCTCGAGTAAAACGCGTTTTAAAGTATGACATCTTGCTTAATGGAATGACGCTTCTTTTACTAAAACACTTGTAGTTTTTGTTCTATTGAACGGAAAATAATAAACTTGGTATTTTTACAAAGCTAATAAGATGGTCTATAAAATAAAATCATTAAAAAATGTGTCAATTTTTGGCAAAATTCTCAATTTTTGGATAGTTGGGTACCTTAAAAAACCTCGACACAACGAAATTAACATGCTTACCAAATTTCAATATTGTAAGTCTAATAGTTCAAATATGGAAATTTGTTTTTATATACATGCCTTGTTACCCACCTTGGAAACCAATTTCTATGAAATTTGCTTAGAGATATAATATAATTACAAAAGTTATCAAAACAAAAATGAAATAGGATTTCTGTCATTTACTAGAAATGAAAGTGAAATCAAAAGTATAAGCATTATTAATATATTGAATAGTTAGTTTTTAAATTTCTGTTTAATTTTTAAAGCAAAAAAAATTGACTTATTATGGATTACTCTTGCAGACACTGCTCAAAAAAGTTACTTTAAATCAATTCAATTTGAAATG